AGCAACCTCCAATTCCTGGGCTCAAGCGAGTCTCCTGCCTCAGCCTCCCAAGTAGCTGGGACCACAGGCGCCCGCCACAATACCCGGCTATTTTTTGGTTGCAGTCATTATTGTTGTTTGGTGGGCCCACGCTAGATTTGAACCTGCCACCTTAGGTGTATGTGGCTGGCGCCTTAGCCACTTGAGCCACAGGCGCCAAGCCAGGTGCATTTTTTTTAAATCAGCCTTGCTAAGGTGTAATTTAGATACCATATAATGCACTTATTTTAAGTAAACAGTTCTATGAGTTTTTAAAATGTATATACCTCTGTGTCACCACTATCACAATCAGGATAAAGAGCATTTTATCCACCTCCCTCAATTTCCCTGTGACCTTGTTAAGCCCTCTTCCTCACCACCAAATCAGGAATCCGCTGTCTTAGCTTCTGTCACTATAGGTTTGTACTGTTTATCTAGCATTCCATATAAATGGAATCAAGGGTAAGGACACTTTGTGGGGGGGGTCTGGCTTCTCTTTCTCTCAATATATTTTTGAGATTCATGTATGGTGTTTTCCCTATCAGTGTTTTCATTGCTGAATAGTGTTTCATTTTATGAACATAAAATGCAATATATTCATAATACACAATATACCTAATTGTGTATATCCATTCACCTGTTTATGCATATTTGGGTTTGTGTCAGTGGAAAAAAACTGCAAACTCAAAGTGCTTTTTCTATTGTCTCACTCACCAACAAGCAACACAGAAGACTTCTGTGACCAAGTGTGTGTGTGGGGGGGGGCTGCAGTTTCTCCACCATCAAACAGTGAATACCAGCTAGATTTTCTCCAATTCAATTCTGACACTATCTACCTGGATATAATGTCAGATCCCACAAAATGAGAGCTCGTTCCCCAAGACTTCCCCACTCCTTGATACATCAGTTATGACCTACCAGCTTCAAGTTGGAATTCCCATGGTCCCCTCTTTGGGTTTGATGAATTTGCCAGTGTGGCTCACAAAACTTACAGAAATGTTTACTTA